AAGCTAAACAACATTTGACAGGTCAGCAACTTCTTAAGTTGGAACACACAATACATACATATTTGCAAATTTTCATCAAAATTGGTTAACTTCGGAGATTAGAGTGAACACGAGTCTGATACCTACAGGATATTATATAGTTTTTTTTTAATACGGGACTTCTTCTTCTTTTTTATAAAAATGTCAAATCTCTTCTAAACCTTTATGTAATATTAGCGGCCCGTCCCGGCGTCGCACAGGTGGACATTTTTACATTTTAAAAATTGGCCATTAAGGTTGCACACGCGACGGAAGCTTAAAAATGGAGTACCTTCTTCCGTTTTCCCAACATTTCCCTTCACTGCTCTGCTTCTATTGATCGTAGCGTAATGAAAAGTATACTATAACCTGCCCAGGAGTATGAAGAATAATTGTATTAAGTTTCGTTAAAATCCGTCGAGTAGTTTTTGTTTCTATAATGAACAGACAAAAAAATATTTACTGATTGCATTTTTGGCATCAGTATCGATCACTAATCACTCCCTGATAGTTATTTTGGAAATATATTTCATGTACAGAATTGACCTCTCTACAGATTTATTATAAGTATATAGATTTTAATTACGTATTGCACTTTTTTGTCTCTTTCTTTTGAGTTAAAATCCCAATATGAAAGTAAGTGGCAAAACAGTGCAATAGTTAGAATAGATTTGTAGAAGTATTATTTTTAGTTGTTATGAATAAGGCGATACAGTTACCACTTTGGGCATTGGTTGCAAAATAGAAATCAGTATTTTAAAAAAGAGGTTGATCCTATTATAGAAAATATCTTCATATCATAGGATGTGATTATATCGATTGGATAGGATCATATCGATTGGATAGGATCAAGATGATCGTAATCTTGTCTAACCAATTACCAAATGGAAACTTCGTACAATAGTCGTTTGCTTGAGTACTTTTATTCTATCCGTGTTTCTGATGTAAAACACGACATGGCTGTGTTTCAGTTTAAAGAATAATGAGATATGCCAGTGAAATTAGAGGGTGCGAAGGCATAACGTCATGGTCCAGGGGGAAAGAAATTGTCAGTAATGAGGTCTAACAGCCTCATTGCTGGCAATGCACCTTATCAGGTCGACCTCCACGAGGTTCGCCTTGGAAACCATCGTAGTTAATTCTTGTCGAATTCATTAAGATGAACTATCTGACCTGTTTTCGTCGTCTCCTATTATTTCTCACTGGTGCCCTTTTAGCGTATAACGATAGCGCAGGCTATGTTACGAGTACATAATCACCCATTAAAGGGGGGAAAGGGATTGTTAGTAATGGGGTCTAATAGCCCCATTACTGGCAATATACCCTCTCAGGTTGACCTCCACGCGGTTCCCCCTGGAAACCATAATGTATAATTCTTGTCGAATTCATCATGGTGGGCCAACTGACCTGCATTCATTCTCATCTATCATCTTCCACTGGTGCCTCGTCGGTGTATACCGATAGCGCGGGCGGGGTTACTAACCCATTTTCACCTATTAAAAAAAATCATCCATTAAAACTCTATGGTCCCCAGGGATGGCAACGCATGAGGAATACCACGGCCATTACATAATATTCTGTACTGTCCACGGTGCTGTTCATGACTATAGGCGGCTACCACTTTCTATCAAATAGGTCTCAGTTTGCTTGCCATAAAATCTATTGATTTAAATAAAATTTGAACGAGTTGACCGCGAATGTATAAACCAATCCTACCAATGCGTAGGAAACTGAAATGCATGTTTACAATACCCAGTAGCCAATGGCTAATTCACGGGCTGCAATATAGGTCATGTGTCCAGATTACGCCGCTGTAACATGAGTCGTGGGCGTCCATGTTGGATTTTATGCATGTGTGAGCCAATCAGAATACGGGAAGGGGCGGTGCATGCGCGGGAATTGTTCCAATGTTGAAAACAGATTAACTAGATTTAAAAATAGAAACTATGGGATTGATTCTGAGGCGCCATTTGTTTAAACTTATCTCTTAATTTATTATTTTAATTTCACGAAATTAGTTTAATTTAATGATTTCCTGTTTTATGAACTATTATAAATTAATTTTGCTATAATTTGGAAATTTAGATCATATTGGTCCTTAGAGTAAAGGTTTTATTTAAAGAAATGGCGTCCTGAATTGATCCCTATGTATACCTACAATGGCAAACAATTTTTTTTTATAGTACAACGACGTAAATATTTTTATATTATATGGTCGATGCCAGCGATTTGGACCTTAACAAGCGTTAGACCGGAATATAAAGAAGGTACGTAAAATTTCATGATATTTTGTTGAACTGTTTATTAATAGCTGATATGATGGTAATGAACGCTAGAACGTTATAGAACGCCTATGTAAGGCGTTCTCCATAAACGGGGTTTTGCTAATAGTTGCAGCTCTTGGCAAGCGGGTTGACAACCGCAGTTAGGTTTTAGGTGATATTTTAAGAGGGACACTGCTTCCCATCCCTCGGTCATTAAGTTCCCATAGTCACCTCTTACAACACCCACTGGAAAGAAAGTGGTGGCTCCTATTTTACCCCGGGACCACAAGGCAATTATATGATCTATTTATTATTAACTAGCCGTGTTCTGGCTGCTTCATCAACGTGAATCAGTATATAATGTATCCTATGTACTAAGTTAGAATATAACCTACCTGTGTACAAAATTTCATTCAAATCTATTCAGTAGTTTTTGCATGAAATAGTAGCAAACTCCCATGCATCCATAACTTTTGCAATTATCGTGTTTATAATATAGGAATAGGACTGTAGACAGGTGCCTATACTATGCTGTCAGATTCATGTCAATAGGCGACGATTACCACTTACTATCAGGTAGGCAGGAGAAAAGGGAAACCCCCTGAAAACCATCGTGAATGATTTTTGAAAGAATGAAATGATTGATGAATTTGTCACGATGGGCTGACTGACCTGTTCCATCTTCACTTATCATCCCTCACTGGTACCCCGCCAGTGTATACCAGGTACCATAGCGCAGGTGGGATTACCATTTCATAATCATCCATTAAGAAAAAAAACTGTCAGGTAGGCTACCAATTTTTTTCTTCTGGCATCGACTTTTTGGCTGTCAACTTGTTCGTCATTCGCGTTGTATAACAAAAAAAAAGAAAAAATAACAAAATAAACTTGAATAATAAATGTAGATAAGTAGGTATACGTTTTCAAGTAAACCAACACAAATGTGTCACGTCATCGAAACACGTATTCGGGGTCGCGGGGATCATGGAACTGAATAATAAATTGTTTATAATGAAAATGAAAATTTAAGTTTCACTTGTGCATGTGGGGCTGCCAGTAACAATATTTATTCTTATATTTATTATATAACAACTTTATGACATAGTTGATGATATGTTTTTTTTTAATGGGTGATAATGGAATTATATCATGATGCCAGCCTTTAATTGTCCACTGCCAACATAGACCTCCCCTGTAAGAGGGGTATTGCCAGTAATTGGCAGGCGGATAACTGCGGTTGCCAAGTCTTTGATGATGTTTTAAGACGCTGCTGACCGTCTCTAATGTAATTAATATAACCTTTGATGATGATAATTGAATACTTTTAAATATTTGTAATTTATAAGTCCCCATGGACCTTTTGAAGACTGTTTTGTCTGTTTGTTTTTAGCAGCAATTCTTCTTCAATCCAGAAAACTACTCAAAAAAATTCATTCTTTTGAGTAAAAACAATATTTGTATATTAACAAGGGCTCTTACTGGACACTGCAAAATAAATAAGCACAAGGCCCAAACAGGCTTATGTCTAAAAACTGTTTTAAGATTCTGTCATGATGTGTATGAAACGCCATAGCACGTAATAGTGTCTGCAGAAGAGCACGTAATAGTCCTTTGAAAAATATACTTTATAGCCTCAAGAGATAAAAAACATCGCTACTAAGAACATCTTAAACTCCTTCTACTGACAGACATTGGCAGCGAACTTGAAAAAGGGCAAACTCAATAGATCAAGTTACAAGTTTTTCTGCCTGACAAAGCCTATTACTCAATTTTTTTTTCAATTTGCGGGGTAGCTCCATTTACTATCTATAATAAAAGTGTTTTATTTTAAGCGCTTATAATATCCCCAGGGCGATTAGTAGAAATGCGAACTGCCAGTTTTATTCCTAGATGTCCACGTGGTCCCCATGTAAACCGTCGTGGTAAATTCCAGGTGTATTCATCACAATGGGCTAACTGACCTGCCTTTTCATTCTCACTTATTATCTCTCACTGGTGCACCGCCAGCGTATACCGTTAGCGCAGGCGGGGTTACCGTTCCATTATCATTCATTTAAAAAAAATAGACATAATTACATATTTATGAATACGAATGTTTGTATTCAGCTGGGATCAAACCCGCGACCGTAGGAAGATTAGGCAGTGTATTAAACGCCTACATCACCAAACTCGAAACGTAATGTATGTAACATGCAAGTATGTATATCTAATCAAAAAATAATTATTAAAAATAAATAACATTTCAGCTGATTACTACAAAATATAGATACCTATTAGTAAGTCATTTACCTATTATGAAACACTCGATTATTCAAGTACGATGCATTGCAAAAAATCCAATGCGCACTTGTTTTTACTACATTGTTTGCTCTCTCTAAGCAAAGTAGCAATGTATATAAACTTTTACGAAACGATTCTTGTTTTTAAGTTATAAAAACATAATAGCTCAAAAAAGCCTACATTTTCTATTCTACTGCGCTCAAGCGTTCTCGATACTAAAATATGTACCTGTTTCATTGAACCATTACAACGTTGCATTTGCTTGTAGAAGCGAACAAAAAAGGCATTTTATCATTAGCAACTATACTTAATCACAGGTATGATTGTAGAGACAGCAACTATCTCATCATCATTGATAATATTCGGTTTGGCAACGTCGCGCCGGCTTCGCTCACCTGGCCGTACCTGCGCAGTGTCAACAGGGGGGGCGAGTGAGCGAACGGAACGCCAGTCGAAGCGATAGACACGGTGCCGACGGACACGCCGCGTTACCTGTCCCGAACGCTCAAATATTCCATCAAAACTAATTTCCAACTCGGAAATTAAATGTGATTAGTACACAAGTGTTAATAAGAGACGTGAAAACGCTAGCGCTTCGGAATCGAGACGGTTTATAGGCGCACCGGGAAACGTTCGCCGACATCCTAGCAGACCAGAAACGCAAGTCACCGGGTAGCCTCGGCAGAAATTCGTTTACCAACGTGATGTTAGTTAATTCTAGATTTTCACCTGCAGCGGAAACGGCTTACGTAGACGAGTAGCGGTAAAACGCCGTCCGCGCCACACGCGACCCGTTCCATGTTGAGTAACCGTCAGGTTTCTAAAAAGTGCTTTCGACGTGTATAAGAACACAAACAAGCATCGCGAGTTTTCGGACGACAGAGTATTGGCAGCGTTTGCTTTAAGAATAGAACGCTCGAAAGGTTTTGATACTGTCCCTTTAGAAAGTAGGACTTGTGTTCATCTCTACGCGACTGGATTGTGGATAGTTTGTAACTTGTTATTTTTGACATAGTAAATGAACAGTGAGTAAAGATTGTTAGCAACGACTGTCGGAGGGTGTTGTGATAAATTGCGCGTGTGCAGTGCATGGCGCGATGATTAGCGGGGGCTGGGTGTGCGCACTGCATGTGCGTACCGCTGGACTCGGTGGTGCTGCCCTCGGTTCTGATGAGGAGGAGGTTGTCTACCTAGCTTATATCGTCATAGATGTTCACACTAATCAGGTAAGATTACTGTTCTAAACAAATGCTATTTTAGCTACCTTTGGCAGAATCATGAGGCAATAAAAGTAGATTGACCACACATGACGACGTTGAGAGATAACAAACATAAAAAAATTGAGCCGAATTGAGAAACTTCAACTTTTTTTAAGTCAGTTGAAATTTAGACAATTTTTAAATAAATTTCTTTATCTTCTGTATGAATCAATACGTTATATTAAGTACGTTTATGTAAAATACAATGTATGTATAATATTACTTTGTAGCTAGATATATAGCCGGTGTATAATTATCCATTTAGTAAACATTGTTAACCATACAAATATAAGCCTCTTGAATTGTTACAACATCACAAAGTATAATTTATTAAATTAAATCACGTTTGAAGGCTGTTGATAACCAAATTACCGTTTGAGGTAATATGAAACAACTTAGTTTAGAACATCTAACAGTATTATCGTTAATAAGGTTGTAAGCTCGATAAAGATCTTTCCTTCTAATCGTAACTAAATTAAACATAATTGGAAATTATAACAAGAAAATAGGATTTATAATAAAAATATATGTTTTTTGACTGTGGGGTAGACATAACTCAAAGACAGGTACTTGCTTAAATTAAAAATAGGAAATAAAATATACCTATGAACGTAGTATGATAATGCCCAAAATAGGTGTTATCTTATTTGTATGAAGATAATCATATATATTGAATGTGTGTTACATTCAATTTGGTATATACTCATGTACACAATGGCAACAACCTACTATAGGTAGCTACTAGCTACTATTGAGTATGTTAAGTACCTATATAGCGACGAGTTTGTGGATGAGGAGAATTGCGAATTAGGTATTTCATCACATCCATTGAGTTAAAACTATTGAATTAGAGTAATACTCACTTAGCCAAATAATATCTAAATCATTTTGCCACATATCTTTATAATTTTTGTATCATTTTTCAAAAAATTCAATAAGCAATGGTCTGCAAATTTAAATTACTATTCGTATGTAAATAAAGGTAATAAATATCAAACTTAATTTATGTAAATTTACGTATTTATATTAAATAATTTTGAAACTTTCAAGACATGTATTTAAATTTATTTATAAATAAAGAAATGTTAAATCCATGTAAATATATTCTGGTAAATGAGAATTCAACAGTTAATCATTGAACATATATACAAGTTTTGCTGTGTATTTACCTACACCACTTTTATTACTACACCATAAAATGTAATTTATAAATGTAATACGTAAACCTTCATTATCATAACAGTCGTTACATGTCCACTCGTTACACATAACAGTCGTTACACCGTCCAATATAGTGGACCTCCCCTTAGGGTAAAGGGGGCTTTGTCAGTAATTGCCACGTTTGGCAGGCAGTTTGGCAATCACAGTTAGACTTTTGATGACGTTTTAAGAGATTGCTGATGCCCAACCCTTAACCATTAAGATCATTTAGTTACCTCTTACGACACCCACGACAAAGAAAGAAGTGGCTAATTTAATATTGGAACCACACGGCATATTTACTAATACTCGAATAAATAATATTAATGGAATTTTAATCTTGTTCAAATGATTATAATTAAAATTATATTAATCTATCTAGAACTAATTTGGGGCAACCGAATTAAAAGTTTTCAATGGCGTCTGATAAGGTGTTTTGTAATGTTGAAATAGTTAAGTATAATAACTTGTACCTAGTCATCAATGAATTTGCATACTTTTAAACTATAAGGCGAACATTTGTACTTGATAATAAATCAAGATTGATAAAAACAATGTTTTGGCAAATAAATATATCTATCAATCTATCTAAAGAAGAAAAATGTAGTTTCCATTCATCCATAGATGTAGTTGATGCATAATATTGCTTTACGATATTACTTATATTATTTACATAGTAGAAAACATAGGATGTTATCATCATCATCCTCGTATTAGGCATTAACTGTCCTTTACTGAAGATAGGCTTCCTCTATAAGACAGGTTTTGCCAGTAGTTTGCCACGGTTGGGTTGGCAACCGCAGTTAGCTTTTGGCGATGTTTTAAGAGGGATGCTGCCCATCCCTCGACAATTAAGTTTCCTTAGTCGCCTCTTACAACACCCACGCGAAAGGAAGGGGTTGTCTATTCTGACCACACGGCATGGGCGTTATAAAAATCTTAAGCGATAGAAATAATTTTCTATATAAAAAGGATGGGCCGAAATCCGTACATAAATAATATAAAATAATCTTTGAAATACATTTTTCCTTTCTTTATCTCATCATACTCATATTTCGCACATTTTAAAAGCTGCATTGGATGATGTTTTTTAATTGAAACATCTTTTCTAGTACCTACAATATAAATCAGGAATTAATACTGTAATAATTAACATTATGTATTACGGTTACGAACCGATAAAAATTAACCACCACGATTTCCAACGGGATGCGCGGTGAAATCGTCTACTAGGGTCTATTAATCAGTCTAGTAATCCCTTTCCCTTATTTAGTTTTGTGGCTATCGCTGGAATCTTGTTATTTGTTATAGGTATCTATTTAGTTTATGTCTGGTAATAATAACAAAAAGATTAATCAGCAGTTCTAGATATTGTTATCTTATATTGCTGTTCTCATAGACTTGATGAAGAACCTGAATAAAAAGCTTTTATATTTGTAAAGTATGAATAAAAATGACGACTTGTTTTTGCAAAATAACATAAATAATAATGAACTAAGCTCTCTAAAATATATACATATTTGCGAATGCTTGTTATAAATAGCACAAGTTAAATACGTAATTGTAAAAGGATTAAGACTGTTTATGTGAGGTATATTTAAACGGATACTAACTTTTAAAAATACGCCTATATTAAAATTGTAAAGTTATTTTTAATTTTAGTTATTATTTAAAAAACTATTTCTTTTTCGCAATAACAAAGGAAAGAAAATAAACATGTATATATTAACGTGGGTACCATGTTATCTTTTTAAGCACATGAGCTTGTCGTTATACATCCACAAAATTGCTTATTTTATGTATATTATAAGTAATGGGTATCGTCATAACAGTGAGGTTTTTGGTTTTGAATATTTTGGTATACGCTATAAGTAGGTATGTATAGATATATTTTTTTAAATGGATGATAATGGAATTGTAACCCCACCCGCGTTATCGGTATACACCGGCGGGGCACCAGTGAAGAATGATAGGTAAGGATGAAGTAGGTCAGTTAGCCCATCGTGACGAATTCAATAAGAATTGTTCACGATCGTTTCCAGGGGGAACCACGTGGAGGTCGACCTAATAAGGTATATTGCTAGCAATGGGGCTGTCAAACTCCATTGCTAACAATCCTTTTCAAAATGTATATATATATTTTGGTAATAGAATCCTGACTCGGGTACTTGTACGGATATTCGAGTACTTTATTGGACTTTGGAACTTTTTCAATAGATTTTTTAATTTTACTTTTATAAATATAAGAAATGTTCAGAAATCAAATAATTTTTCCTTTGGCAAACAGAAAGAATACGATAAACATATGAGTAGTATTCGAGTATCGTAAGTACTGGAAACCTGTATTCGAATATCATGTATCTGAATTCTATAATATATAGAGCAAACGAGAACTTTTTTTATGATGGAATGGGCTTCGACTGTACTATCGATATATACCAGCGGGACACCAGTGAGTAATGATAGGTGAGGATAAAGAGTGAGTGAGTGAGTGAGCAGACCAGTTTGTCCATCGTGACGAATTTCACAAGAATTAACCAAGATGGTTTCCAGAGGAAACCGCGTGATAGTCGACCTGATAATACATGTTGCTAGAATTGGAGCTGTTATATCCTCATTACTAACAAAATCCCTTACTTAACAATCCCTTTCCCACATTTGAATACCTATTAGGTATTTCAAATCAATCTCGTGTCAGTTTGACTCGGCACCTTCATTTTCTTTTAATTTGAAGTAGGTGAGTATGTAAAAATGAATAAATTGGAATTTAACTCCCTCGACGCTGTCGGCATAAGACGATGGGGTACCTGTGAAGGATGACAAGGGAGGATAAAGTCACATTAGGTGGTCTGTCGTGACAAGTTCTTTAGGAATTAGATCCTATCAGTATAAACTTTAAAGAACATTGCAGCAAAAATTCAGAGTTCTTATTCTTACCTATTATTCAAATACTTGTGTTAAAGATGTTTCGAACATATAAGTTATGCAAATTAACCCCCCAAACGGGGGGTGAGGGGGGTTACCAGTCATTGTTGAATGACAATTGACATTTTAGCGGATTATTCGTATCTTAGGCGGTTTGTTCCATTACATTATTTGAGTAGGTGTCTGAAATGTTTAAATATGGGTACATATGCGTACCTATTAATAAAAATGAATCGCTAAATATGTCTCTAAGCGCAAAAACTCGCTAAAGGTGAAGCCAATATGTTTTTTTTTATTTGTTGAAGTCCAAGGAAAAAGAAAATTGAATAATTGCACGGATAAATTCCAATCCATTTATCTTTTTCTCACATGTACTAGTCATCATGGAATTGGGCATAGGTACTACAAATAGCGAATAAGAACTAATAGCTACCCTGTTTATTTAACGAAACAATAAATATGTACCTATTGTCTGTTACAACTTGAAAGATAAGACAGTTTTTATCCTAGTAACAAAAATGGTCGTGACAGGTGGCGGTGGGGGATAAAACAACGTTTATATTAGATTAGGTAGGTTGTAATTATATTTTTTTTAACCTATAATTTTCTAACACGCGCCGGCAAGGCGCGACAACGAAAACCGTCATAGTATTGCAAGTTTTCACGGACGATGTTAGCCACACAGATGGACCGACCGTCAGCTTGTTCGCCGCGGTAACGAAAAAAAAAATTAAAATTCTTATTTAGTATTATGTTTTTTTTTTTTTGTAATATTAGGTTCATCTAGTTATTGCTAATGTGAAAGTGAGTTTGTTTACTATCTTTTTCTGCAACAATCGTAT